CCTGGCAAAATTCGCCACTTTGAGGGGGTGTAACTTGGCGTGGAACTGACTTTTCCAGGTTTTTTTGCGGCTTCCTCTATGCTCGCCTTAGACTCTACTAATCAGCAAAATTTAAAGAAAATCTGAGACAGACTCTACTAACAACAAAATTTAAAGAAAATTTGAGATATGAAGGGAAAAAAGTATGCGATTTGACGTGGAATGGCCCACTATGTGGTAGCAATAAGCGAAACTCTAATACTTCGTTTTCAGCCCATAGTGGCAGTTTGCCAAAAGCAATGACTTTAAAATCTTCCGTTTCAAGCACTTGTTCTCTAAATGAGATGAAGATATTTTGACAAGCGTAGTACACTCCGTTTTCGCGCCTCGTGAAATCAGAAGTTCTTCAAGCGAACAAGCAGTTAGTTTTTCATCAAGTAAACTTTTTTATCCGTACCTCTATTAGTAAATCGTAGTATTCTCCTTTGCTGTCATATCAACCAGCCAGTATTGCATACCCTCAAAATATCAGCAACAAATTAATTGCCTTTTTCCCGTTTGCTTCAAGATGCACTAATTTCATGAACTTTTCTTAAAAACTGATCTTCACAGATTACTCCCAAAAATGATTAACATCAAAAATGAAAGTATAAAATAACAAACTTTACACACTTCTACTTCCTTTAACACATTAGAACACTGAAAAGTTTCCAAGCCTTCCACTCTCCTCAACCATATCTTTTCTCTGCAAAAATATCTTTGACGAATTCACCTATTGCATTAGTTCACTTAAATGACCTAGTGCCTCATAACAAATTGCCTCTTTCTAAACTGGGCTTCTTCATGGCCAAGTGAATCTGATATTCTAGTTCTTCCAAAATAGAATAAGCAAAGATATTCTACATTGTTCAATTTCACTTGCAAATTCTAAAAATTGTCGCTCTTGTCTGACCAAACTCAACAATCCACTCTTGAGAAAACTTGTAGATTTTATTGAAAGACACGACATCATATTCATTTAAACTGAAAGAAGACCTCGGTATTTTAAAACTGAAACAAAACGAAGAGTTGCTGATGTCAACAAAGAAGTTGACTACTGAAGAAAAAATGATGTTTATTGAATCATAAGGGTTTAATAAAAATGCACGATCCCTTGCTGATTTTCCTGCTTCTTCTACTCATTTCATTTGCTTGTATAACGTACTTCCGTATGCCAACAATTGCAGCATACATCATACTGAGTATTCCAGTTAGTTAGGATCACTGCAGCGCGTCTGAACATAAACCAACGGCATTAATATGTCCTACATTGATAAAATTTATGCACCAATGCCCGAGTCAAGATTGTAATAATGCAGTGGCAAACTTGATTAGTGACAGTATTACAAAATAAACACAAAATCTGGTAAAATATAAATATGTGCCAATGTTTTCTACTTTAAATAAGTTTTAATGCGTAGTCCTAGTTTGCTAGTGTTATGGCAACAGTGCTCCGATATCAGAGCGCATTC